CTGAGGCAGGTTTAGGCCGCAAGTTTAAGACTCAGTCCGGCAACCAAGGCATGCTCAGGGGGTCAGGCTTTGCGGTTTCGGGGCGTATGGTTTAGACGAAGGACCTCACCCTAAACCCTAAATCCTACGGCCCTACGGCTTAGACAAAGGACCTCGAAGCAGAAGAATGGCTGGCGAGTTCCGGGCCAAGCACAAACGCCGACTCCCGCAGCCCAGCCTTGGGCCCCCTGTAGTCGGGTCCCTCAACGGTTTAGGGTTGAAGGGTTTAGGGGTTTTGGGGTTTATTTTTTTGACACTCACTCTAGGGTTTAGGGGTTTAGCGATTTAGGGGTTCAGGGTTTAGACTTTAGGGGTTCAGGGGTTAGGGCTTACGCTCTCGCAACTCGGACACAGCCAGACGAGGTTCTTGGTGCGCAGTCAGACAACAATGGAGGGGTTTAGGGGTTTAGGGGCTTACGGGTTTACGGTAGAAGCCTGAACCAATACCAATAGCATTCTTAGAGGGCTCGAGTCGCCCATTGAGGAATCTCGGTAGCCCCAGTACCGCATGCCATGGCCGCGTAGCGGAAGGCGGTACGTCATGAGCCTGGAGAGCAGCCAACTACCCAGCAACCTGCGGAGTTTGACGTTTGGCTATGCGTTCTACCGGAGCATAGAGAGCAGCCAACTACCCAGCAACGTGCGGAGTTTGACGTCTGGCTATGCGTTTAACCGGAGCCTGGAGAGCAGCCAACTGCCCAGCAACCTGCGGAGTTTGACGTTTGGCTATGCGTTCTATCGGAGCATGGAGAGGAGCCAACTACCCAGCAACCTGCGGTGTTTGACGTCTGGCTTTGCGTTTAACCGGAGCCTGGAGAGCAGCCAACTGCCCAGCAACCTGCGGAGTTTGACGTTTGGCTATGCGTTCTATCGGAGCATGGAGAGGAGCCAACTACCCAGCAACCTGCGGTGTTTGACGTCTGGCTTTGCGTTTAACCGGTGCCTGGAGAGCAGCCAACTACCCAGCAACCTGGGAAGTTTGACGTCTGGCTATGCGTTCAACCAGAGCCTGGAGAGCAGCCAACTACGCAGCAGCCTGCGGAGTTTGACGTTTGGCTATGCGTTCAACCGGAGCGGCCTGCGGAGTTTGACGTCCGGCTACGCGTTCTACCGGAGCCTGGAGAGCAGCCAGCTACGCAGCAGCCTTCTGAGTTTGACGTTTGGCTACGCGTTCAACCGGAGCCTGGAGAGCAGCCAACTACGCAGCAACCTTCGGAGTTTGACGTTTGGCTATGTGTTCTACCGGAGCCTGGAGAGCAGCCAGCTACGCAGCAGCCTTCAGAGTTTGACGTTTGGCTATGCGTTCAACCCGCGCATCCACTTCATGTTGATGTCTTTTGCCTCGGTCTTCACGGCTGCGAAGGCTTACCTTGAGCACCAGTGGGGAATACTGCTGAGCCGATTGCCGGATTGCCCCCTGAGTAGCTTGAACTTGCTGGAACGTAAGAGTGCTCGACATATGTATGTGTATATACGAAGCAAGTTGGCAAGTCTCACCTGCCAACTAGTTGGCCGTGTGACCCTCCTCAGATGTGACATTACACCTTTCGGCTCTGCTTTTTCGATGTGCATACGCTGTCACTGCACATTTGGGAATGCTTGAGTGGGCACAGTTCTTTTGAAGTGTGGGGCATGTTAGCTTTGTTCTTGCCTCTCCCAGCCCCTGGAGGAATGCTCAAAGCTGGACCGCAGGGAAGTCTGATGATCAGCTCTCCCTGTTGTCGTCTGTAGGTTTGTTGCTGGCTTCGTGGTCGTTCATGGGCCAGCTGTTGTTGTTGTCACGCTTTTGGAGGGTCCACGCTCCCGAGCCTGGTTGCGTGTGTCAGTGCTTTCAAATGAGAGGCGCTCGGATTGGCCAGACAGCTTTTAGCCCTGGAAGTGGCTGCTGGGTTCATCTGGCGATCCCTTTTTCGATTTTGCCTCTCATCGCAGATTTCTGCGCCACGGGCCCTTAAGGACTGTGAGTGCATACTGCTTTCCATTCTAATTAGGTGCTTGTTGAATTTGATGCGAGAGGCGCGTCCTCTGGACCCATGCCTACCCAGAAAGAAAGCATTCTTAGGGTCCCTTGTTCTATTTATGCTGCAAAGGAGCCCAAACCCCTATTCAAGTTATGAAGGCCCTTACATTAACCCTGTTAGTCGTGTGGATCTTGTTCGTTTACGGATTTATTTCGGCCTCTTACTAAGCAAGGACAAAGCCCGCCGCGTTTAGGGTTTAGCGCCCCGATACTTTCCCACGCCGACCTGGAGCTAGTCGACCTCGTGCCCTAGACTCCCCGGAGGCTCTCTGTCCTTGACGCCGTCTAGAAAACCCTCAGCCCTAGATTCCTCCTGTTTCGGGCTTCGGGCTTAGGGGGTTTATGCTCTCGCAGCTCGGACACAGCCAGGCGAGTTCGCGCTCACAGTACAAAAGGTTCTCAGGCATCATCTTTAGGGTATAGGTACTAATGTAGGAACCTGATTCAGAAACCCTGGGCCTATAACCCCAAAACAGCATGATTTATTAAAGAACCCTAATAATTCCCAAGGTTTGTTGATCAGGTTCCTACATCAAAGGGCACACCACCGGTGTAGAGGGCCTTTGACACTCGACCAAGGCGAGTGTCACGGAAGTGGCAGCTAATTCGCCTAACTACAGCTGCCAGCAGATTCGAGATGTTGCACCAGAGGGGACTCAAAGGGAGGCACGAATACTTTCGAACTGAATCCTGACCACATCTCGAACCGGCTTGGCAAGCACACTAACTCGCTTCTTTACCACAGCAATTCGACATGTAGTAGCAGTGAGGAATGAATGGACCTGTCCCCGACTTTTCTATCCTAGATACCTGTGCATGTATGGACGCTTCCAAACATGACATCCCTGAGCTGAGAAGACCTAAACTTAATCATGGTTCGAGTCATGAGGTCTAAAGTTGCAGCTCTTCACGCCACAGCGTTCATATCATCTCAGTCCAGGATCAGTAGGCGCCGAATTTTTACACTGCCAAAGCGGCCCGGCACGTCCTCGCAGTGTGCAGGCATCGTCCTGCTCTGCCTCTTTGCCTTTCTTGGGTTTAGGGTGCCCCTTTCACCTCAAAAGCCCCGAAACCCTACTCTCTCTCTCTCTCTCTCTCTCTCTAGTGGGCAAAACCCGCAGACCCCTAAGATTGAAAGTTGCTAACCTCGACCACCTCTTCGCTCATCCCAAACCCCAAATCCAAAACCGGCCCTGGCAGCCCGGAAACAGCCGAGAAGAAGCACACGGTCAAACTATGCCAGATTATACTCTCAACCAGAAGGGTTTCGACGCTCACGCTCGCACAAGGGGTTTAGGGGGTAAAGGTTTAGGATTTCAGGGTTTTGTATTTTTCATAACCCCCCCTGGACCCTAAACTCGTGAACTCTAACTCCACCCCCTCACACCTTGAACCCCAAATCCGTCCAAGACCTCTTAACCCTGAACTATAAAGACCTTAAACCGATAAAACCGCGATAAACTCTATACTATACGAGCTACTCACAGTTCCCACAAAGATCTCAATCATCCGAGCCTCTACTGGCCATTCTCATGCAGCCGCCGAACTCGGACCACCGTTGATGATGCCTCAATCGCCCATTTTAGAAGGAGTTCTATAAGAACTTACTAAAGGGCCCTCAGGGTTTTATAACGCTTTGCGAGGCCGCTTCAGCTCTTTAACAGGATTTCATACAGGCCCCAAAGAATTTTGCAGTCCATACATTGAAAGGTTAAGGGTTTGTGGGGTGTTCTTAATCTTTCCTAATGGTCCTCATAGTTTGGGTCTATTGTGGGGGCCGATACTGGCGTGTATAGAAAGAAGCCCCAAGACTTGAGATTTAAGTCCACGGCTTCAGGGCTTTGGAAGCTTAGAGCTTCACGGCTTTTGGCACTTTGGGGGCATAGACTCTCTAAGAAGTTTAGGACTTAAGGGGTTTCGGGACACGAGACTTTGTCGTGCTGAAGATGTGGCAGGCAGGGCAGCCCTCTCGTCGGGGGAACGCTGGCCGGGCACTAAGGGCTGCGTGCCTAGCAGTATACTATACTACGTATAGAATACTGCAATATGCCGCACCATACTAGACAGTACTACACTATGCCATACTACACTGCATTGCATTCTATTCTGATTCCCATACACTGCGCCAACTGCAAGCACATGCAGCCGCGGTGCTCGTCAAGATGACGCTATCAAGCTTCAGGCTTTCGTTTCTTTCGCTGTGCTCAGAGCTTTCGGAACTTAGAATAGCGTTTCGGGTTTTGGGGCACGGTATAGTATAGCCTCCCACGATCTTGCAATCCACACTCCGACGGTGAAAAGCACTGAGGCCGCCAGCAGTGAAGCCGCTCGACACATCGGTCCCAGGACCTTTTGGTAGTTTCCGAAAATTAGGGGTACCTTACTTCGGGGTTCCGTATAGTAAGGATCCTACTACTTAGGGTACTATATTAGGGTCCCTTGTTTTCGGAAGATCCCTTTTGGTGATGCAGGTTTAGAGTTAAGGGTTTACGATGGATGAGTTCTTAGAGGAGTAAGGGTAAGGTCGATCTTTCCTGCCGGTTGCTGCGATATACGAGTTGGAGCCTTCGACTTGGTACCTTCTCGATTCCCCACACCGAAACTGATAAGGGAAGCTGTTCGAAGAGAGTAAGGCTAGCCTGAAGCTACTGCTTCAAGAGTGCGGCTTTCGAAGGATTTGCACAAAGCGTGGTGGGTGGCTGGACTTGAACCTGCAGATGGTGAAGACCCGGTGCCCTCCAGCATGATAAGCTGCATGCGTACCGCTGCCTGCACATTCTGCAATCTGAAAGAAAGACCAAAACATCTCGCTTCTAGCCACAGATATATCAAGCTGGTCATAGGGCCGGGCCGCGAACTTTTCATGCGCAGCAGCAGATTCCTTTGCAGGGTTGTCGGAAAGCCAGCTACAGGACGGGCTACCCGCTTGCAGACTCAGTACTTAGGCCACCAGTGCCGACGCCGTGGCGGAGACATACTTCCAGGTGGCTGGCAAGGACTTCACGCGCTTGTAGTATCTGGCGAGACGATGGATTCGGCTCTCCACCAAAATCAGCCGGAACTTGGCGTCCTTGTCCTTGCGGTTCTTGTCCAAGTGCTTGCGGATGGACACAGCCTTCTTGATGAGGTAGTACAGATCCTCCGGCAGTGTCGGCGCCAGGCCATTGGTCTTCAAGATGCGCAGGATGTGGTTGCCTGTGACATTCTTTACCTGGGGAACGCCGAAGCTATCTCGCAGGGTCACGCCGATCTGAGACGGGGTCAGGCCCTTCTTGGCGAGCTTGCAAATGTGGTCGCACACGTCCTCTGGCTTCATCTTCAACCACGTCGGCGGCGTGCGCTTGTAAGGGATTGCCGAGGAGGCAATTCCCTTGCCCCTGCCATACATGCGCCCCATGCTGCCGCCCTTCCTGTAGCTAAACTGACCTTCTACGAATCCTTGCTGCTTGTGCCACCTGGAAGGAGCAGGCATGTAGACATGACAACAAAGCGTCACGGGGCAAGCGTGTGAAGTAATAGTTTCCAGTCATGACCTCCGCACATGTTGTGCAACTGTTGCCGCAGAGATAAACACGCAACAGCCTACCGGGTCTTTGTGGAGACTGTGCAAAGAAAGCCCAACCAACATCTGTGAGATTTGCGACGAGAGCAATGGTTCTGAGGACGGTTTTGCTTGCAGCAGTTTCTCTGGTCGAAAAGTGTCTCTAATAAGCTACAGGACGGGCTACGCGGCTACCCGCTTGCAGACTCAGTACTTAGGCCACCAGTGCCGACGCCGTGGCGGAGACATACTTCCAGGTGGCTGGCAAGGACTTCACGCGCTTGTAGTATCTGGCGAGACGATGGATTCGGCTCTCCACCAAAATCAGCCGGAACTTGGCGTCCTTGTCCTTGCGGTTCTTGTCCAAGTGCTTGCGGATGGACACAGCCTTCTTGATGAGGTAGTACAGATCCTCCGGCAGTGTCGGCGCCAGGCCATTGGTCTTCAAGATGCGCAGGATGTGGTTGCCTGTGACATTCTTTACCTGGGGAACGCCGAAGCTATCTCGCAGGGTCACGCCGATCTGAGACGGGGTCAGGCCCTTCTTGGCGAGCTTGCAAATGTGGTCGCACACGTCCTCTGGCTTCATCTTCAACCACGTCGGCGGCGTGCGCTTGTAAGGGATTGCCGAGGAGGCAATTCCCTTGCCCCTGCCATACATGCGCCCCATGCTGCCGCCCTTCCTGTAGCTAAGCTGACCTTCTACGAATCCTTGCTGCTTGTACCTGCAGGGCAGCAAGCATGCGTGCATCACTGTTGCAGGCTACTGCCTCGCGGTTTCACTGCCCGCCAGTGTATTTGTCTAAGCAGCCATACCTTCTCGGATGGGCAATTTGGGTAAACTTACACAAGAAAGGAAGTTCCGAATGCAAAGCACATCACAGAGTCTTCGCTTGGCTTGCCCCGCATCTCGGGGTTTTGGACCGCAACTCCCAGTCCTACGAATCCTAAACGGTGGCAGCTGACGGCAAGAGTGCTACATGATGGTGTCATCATGATTTTCCGACTCCGGGCACGTGCTACTTGAAGCTGCGATAAAAGCAAGTATGCATCCGACGGTCGAAACAGAGACAACACGACTTAAAGTCAACTGTTTGCCTTAAATGCCAAGACGTTTTTGAAGCCTGAAGCACTGGTTTCCTAAACCCCACAGCAATTTAGAGCAGACACCTCTCAAGAGGCTTGAAACCCTTTTTATATTGGGGCTCTGGACAGGAACGGTTTAGGGGGAATGGGTTTTAGGGTTTAGGGTTGAATCCTAAACCCCCGTAACCGAAACCCCTGAAGCTGGCCCTTGCAGAGAAGATTGCAAAGAAATGAACCTTTGAAGCTAACCGAAGCCCTAAACTTTTAAAACTCCTTCTGCAACTGGCTTGCAACGTTTTGGGGCTCCTTTTATATACTTAAACCCCAAATTGAAGAATTCATAAACCCCAACCCCAACCCCTAAACCTGAAACATCCAAAACCCCTACACCCAAAATTATGGTCCCTTTTTGGGTCCTTGTTTTAATGCGGCACCTAATATTTAGGCTTCCCAATAAGGGACCCTAATTTTCAAACCACCTCAGAGGATCCGGCCACCGCAGTGTGGCTTGCCAAGGACCCCCGAAGAGGTCGCCCAAGTCCTCCGAAGCGCCTTCCCGAAATTTCGAGACTTGGCTTCGTTCCATTGTTCCCCCTTTGTTCCCTAGGGTGGGTTTAGGGGTTTAGGGTTTGAGTGATTTTTTTGCACTCACACTCGGACAAAGCCTGGCAAGGTTTGCAGCGTTTGAGTGATTTAGGGTTTAGGGAAATAGGGTTTAGGGTTTTAAGGTTTAGGGTTTGGGAATTTAAGGTTTAGGGTTCGGGGTTTGTTCCTGCAAGTGATTTATGTTAGCAAGCCCATTCGTAATAACAAATACACTTAAAGTAGAAACTTATGAAACGATATGCATTTCCATCTCCTAACCACCATGACAATCAATTAAAACTGCACCCGAAGGTCGTAGGACCCTAACCTCCCAACTGTGGTTGCTGTCGCCGGCTTCGCAGGACTTTGTCTGGCGGGTTTCAGGGTCTGCCTTGAGGCCTGCATAATTTCGCTAATCCGAAATTGGGGCTGTGGGGTTTAGGCCTTGAGATTTAGTGCACATTTTTAAGGTCTGGGTTTTGAGATATTTAAGGGTGAGAGTCCCGGGTTTAGGGTTGGAAGTATGGATGACGGGTTTTTATTCACAAGCAAGCTCTTCCACAACATGCCTTGATGTAACTGACCACGTTACAACATGTACATCAAAACATCCCTGCCACGGTGCCGCATAGTGTCACGCTTTGCTGCTTAGATTATGACTTTTCTGATACCATGCAACAGTGAAGTTACGTCCCTGCTCCGTGTATCGTACAGTGCCACGTAAGGCCCTGTTTGCAAGTGCTCCCAGCTCCATTACACAACCGGGAACCAGTATCCGAAGAAGCTACAGCTGAGGCGTCGAGGCCTGGGGTCATAGGGGGGCCTTAGAATTTAGAATAGGGTTTTGGGGCCCAGTATATAACGATAATAAGGAACTCCCAATAAAATGTCGGTAATTAGTGACACCCCTAAATTCATGCTGGGCTTCAGAAACATGCAACTGGGGGTCTGCGTGCGCTTTTGTTGCGGTTGTCGTACAAAGGACAAAGAAAGTCGCAAAGATTGTGGTCGAGAGGCAGCAAGCCGCTTAAGCAACCACATTTCCTGAACTTGAAAGTCCTCTGGCATAGACTCACAGATTCCCTTGAAGGAAAAACACCGCAACCACACCACAAGGGCCCCAAAATCCCCTCCTGAACCCCTAACCCGAGAACCCTGAAGCCGTTTTGCAGCAGGCCTCGTTGTCCAGCAGCCCGGTTACAGGAAGAGCCCCCCCCCTTTCCCCCGCTTCTTCGAACCCTGAAGCCTAACCCCTGAACTCTGGAAACAAAGAACCCTCTTTGATTCGGACCCGGGTTAGCCTTCTGTTTGTCGGCATCGTCCACGACTTGCCTGGGTGCTGACTGGAAGGCAGAAGACCGGTTTCGGCGCTCACACTCGGATTTAGGGCTAGACATCGAGTTTACGGGTCTAGGGGTTTGGGTGTTGGGCTTAGGGATGCTACGGGTTCGGGGTTACTGTAGGGTCGAGGTTTCGAGTTTATGGGTTGGCCCTCGAATACTACGAAACCCTCCCTCTCTCCGAATTTAGAGCCCCAATCCCTAAACCCTCCAAAAACCCTCATTTAAGGCATATCCCTTAAATTGCAAGCGGAACCCAAATTTAAGTAAGTGAGTTTTGGAATCTTTGGGTCCCCTTTTGCGTCCCTGGGTCCTTAGACCCTAAAACCCAGAACCCTAGACCCTGAACCCTTTTTTGAACCCGGGCTTGCTGGCTGCCAGGACTGACCCTCCGACCCGTTGCCAAGGATCCAGAAACTAAGAAACCAGTATCGAAAAAATCGGCCCCGAACCCTTGACCCCAAACCCTAAACCCTAAACCCTGAACCCTAAACCCTGAACCCTAAACCCTAAACCCTAAACCTGAACCCTAAACCCTAAACCCTGAACCCTAAACCCTGAAGACTGAACCCTAAACCCTGAAATTTTCCACAAAAAGATCGAGGCGCCCCTGTGGAGTCGGCCCAGAAGACCGGCGGAGAGCTCGGGCTCGACCTGCACCTCACTCGCTGGCTTTGGGGCTTTCTCCCCTCCTCCTACCAACGGTTTAGGGTTTAGGGTTTTTAGGGTCTAGGGTTTTAGGGTTTAGGGTTTTAGGGTTTCGGATCCTAAATCCTAAACCCGAGTCTGCTGGGTCTCGGAGAGGCCTTCTGCATGGTCTGCTCCTTGGGCTTTGGGCGGCACTCTGCTACTGGGCACGAACTTAGATCGGGAAGCGTAATTTCCGAAGTTCTTCCATAAGCCCACACCCTGTAATCCCAGATGCCACGCCTTCATGGTCCGGCAGCGTATAAGGGCTACGATTTTAAGGGCTTCGGGTTTGAAGCGGGTAGGGTTACTATACTGAGGGTTTGGGGATGTTTTGGGGTTGCGGGTTTTGGTTTAGATATAAGCTTTGGGTTTATAATGCAGTGTTCAGGGTTTGGGGTGTTGGGGTGAAGGTTCAACGAAAAGGGTTTCACGGTTTGAGTGTGGGGTTTAGGCTTTGGAAGTTTGAGGGTTTAGATCCATAAGGTGTAAGGGTTTGGGGCGCCCGCAACCTGCCACATGGCAAGCGCGAAGGATAAGCAGGCTCTAAGGGTTTAGGGTTGCAGCCTTTGGGTGTGGGAATTTACCTTAACCTACCAAACCCTACTTTTTTGTAGGTCTTCTTGTGAACCCTGATATGGAGTTTATAGGGACCCTACAAAAAAGGTAGCGTTTGGTAGGATTAGGTCGGGTTGTAGGGTAGTCCCATCGAGTTCTTCGGCTCGGAGCTCTTCAATGCCATGCATTTTGTATTGACGGGTGCTACAGTTGGTGATCTAAATCCGGCATGACTTATTATACGGAATACACCATAACATAATTCCCAGAGTTTCGGGTCCTAAGGGTAATGCAGGATTTTGTCATCAACAGTAGCAGTACAATGAGAACTGCCCTGTTTAAACCCTCAACCTTTAACTCGAAGCCGCCCCCCTCAGGTTCAAGAACCGCACATGAGGCCTAAGCCCTCACCCTGGAACACTAAGCTCTGGAAAGCGAAACCGTGAAGGGCTCTGAAAGCCTGAAGCTCTTTGACCTCAACATAGTATGAAATGATAAAAGAAATATGCAGCAAAATTTAGTACTATACACTACCAAGATATACCCTGAGCCATTGAAGCACAGAACCCTAAATGGCGGTTGGAAAAGGTTTCGGGTGTGAAGTTTCAAGATAACAGCAAAATGGGAATGCCCCTTTAAGGAACCCTAAACCTAAACCCTTATAGGTCCAGCTATGTAAGGAGCCCTTAAAGGAACCCCAAACTACCCCCCAAAGGGCTCCGGTTAAGGAGGCCTTAAGGGAACCTACTCTTGGCTTCAGGCCAGGAGAGGCCACCCGCAGAAGACTCCGCCTTGCCATGGCCTGGCGATCTTTTTTGTGGGGGGGCCGGGGGGGGGGGGGGCTTTGGGATTTCAGGGTTCAGGGCTTTTTTTGACACTCACACTCGGACAAAGCCTGGCAAGGTCTAAGGGGTCGAGGGTTCAGGGTTTAGGGTGGGCTTTGGGATTTCAGGGTTTAGGGTTTCGACACGCACACTCGCTGACGCATTAACGATTTAACGATTCAGGGTGTCGGGCTTAGTAGCTAAACTATATTACTATTCTACGCATAGCTCTAGTATGCTGCAGGGTTTCGGCCGTGGGTTTCAGGGACGTTGGAGATTAGGGCCGGTTAGGGCTTCCGTGCTCGCACTCGGGTTAGGGTTTTTGCCACGCGCCCAGCTGAACAACCTCGCACCACAGGGAACTCGTTCGAAGTCTAGACTAGAGAAAGAAGACCCGAGGCGGGTGATGAACTCCGAGCAGAAAGTGTTTTAAGCTCTCGCAACTCTGACTTGCCAGACTAAGTCTCTGCTTGGGAATTTCCGAAAATTAGGGGTACCTTCTTTCGGGGTCCCTACAATAAGGGTCCTACTATTCAGGGTGCTATATCAGGGTCCCTGATTGTCGGAGACTCCTTGGGGGATCGTGCTGGGTTCGGGCTGGGCTTCTGTGACACAAGGGGCGCTTGAGACGAGGCTTCATTCAGAAAGTCGAAGGTCACAAGTATGAGCGAGGACCGGTTTTGCCTTTAATGGTATACTCTAGAAGTCCGAGAAGGGTACTTTAAGGGTTCTATAAGGTCTTCAAAGCGCTCTTTGGGTTTGAGGGTTCCAATTCAAAGCACAGGTTGTGCAATTCCAGGGTCTACTGTTGGCCGATCAGCTGGCTGCCTGCGTGAGAAACCTTCATAGGACCCGTCTAGTACCCGTCCAGTACCCTCCTGCCGGCCTTAAGATTCCCCTATAGTACCATCACACTATCCTCCTAGGTCTCTGGAAGTGAAGATGAAGCCGAAGAACACCAAGAAGAAGGCACAGAGAATCGCAAGCTTCTTTCCTGCGATAGAGATGGGGGATGCAATCCTGCGACCCGAGGTATCCACGTCCATGCAGGATAAGATATCTAAACGGCGAAAACTGGGACCCTAATGCAGTGCCCAATAAATTGTTGGATCCTGATTGTAAGGACTCCAAAATAGGTACCCCCTTAATTTTCGGAAACCCCCAAATCGGGTTCGAACCACGGGTTGCGATTGCTGACCAGCTGCGACTGCAATGGTCTGTACACGAGCGTGTCTGCAAAAGGCAGCTGCGGCAGAGCTGGATTCGGAGCTCCGTGGCAGAAGCTGGCAATGCAGCCGATGCTGTCGAAGACATGCAGTATTGCAGTCGTGCTTACAAACACTACGCAAAAGAAACTGTACATGTTGAGAGAAGCCCTTTCAAGGAAAAGGAAAATGCCGTGAACCCTGAGCAGCTGTACTATACAGCCCAGCGTCTGGCTGGCATGCTTCCTGAGATGCCGGGGTTCCTCACAAAAGAGCTGCAAATTTACTCATGCATGGTCTCTTGGTTGTTTGTAGATTCTGGGTTTGCACTTGGAGCTTGGATGACTTGGATGTCCAGTGGTTTGGGGTTTGGACACAACACACAAACCAGCAGCTGAATCCCTGCGCACTGAATACCAAACACTGTCATGTAGAAGCCTAAACCATTACCAATGCTATGTCTTGGGGTTCCCTCATATACTTATGCCATAAGCCCTATTCAAACTGGTAACGGCCTCTACAGCAGATTTAAGACTCCACTTCTGGCCAATACTGCCAGACGATGTCGTTTCCATCGTCTGCCAGACTCCACTTTAGTAAGCTTCCTACTTCTTCCATGCGTCCGGCTGTGTCCAACTGACGCCAATTAGACAGCAGGCCTGCTTCGTCAAAGATTAGCGACTGCAGTTTTTGGTTGAACTTGCTCTTGTCTGAAATCTTCTCCAAGATGAGCTGCACGTCTTCTGCACGCGAGGCCTGCATGTCCTCCACTCGAAGCTCTTGCAACTGGCTTTGCGACTTCTCCAAAACTTGCCTGGAATGCATCTTGACGTATTGCTTCAAGCTCGACTGGTGAGCTTCCACAAGTTCTGCCACACACCAAGCCCTGCCAAACAGGCGAAACTGAGAGTCAACAGCCACCACCTGGGAAAACTCTGGTACCTCCTCCGCTAGCAGTGCCATCATATCATCAAACTTGTTCATCTCACAACTGATGCTTTGGCCCTCAATAGAAAGTGGTGGCGTGTTGTTCAAGATCTTTGGCAATCCACAGTCGCAGCCGGCGTGAAGCTGACCTGTGACAGAATCCTTGTCACAAGAAAGGTTTTCGCAGATGCTCAAGTGTTGGTTCACAGCAAAGGTGCAAATCCAGTAGACTTGGTCACCTGTGCCTTGCTGCTCCAGCAAAGTCTTCAGCACGGACACCTCATGCTCCAGCAACTGCGATATGAGTTCGAAACTCGTCTCCCGCACAGCATCTGCGATGACTGCAGCCACCAGGTCGCGGAAAAGGTTCCGCCAGGAGTGTGTGACCATTTTGGTCGGTCTCAAGGGCTCTCTGCCTGTCACCTCGGCATAGGAGCAACATCTCGACTTGGTAATCGGGATGATGGCCTGTCGCACCACATCTCCGGTGGTGTGCATACCTGCACTGTAGTGCGGCATGATGCGACTGCCCAGCTGCCTGTAGAACTCCAGCAACTCCCTGGCTGTGATGCCACGTGTCGACAATTCTGCCACCTTTGCCTGCCAGGCTGGATCCGTTGCCCGACGCCGTCGTGGAGGCGATTTGCGCATCACACAGCGCAGAGGCATTGCATGGAGGCCAGAGCGCTTGGAGAGCTGATAGGAGTTGGACAGGAACCAAGCGCCCGTTGTGTAACCCAGAAGCCTCGCACAGTGCATGACAAAAATAGCCCGAGGTCCCATCAGGAGCATGTACTCCAAGGGTTCGCAACTGACGGCAATCAAGAAGCACAAAGCGAAGCCAAAGATTTCCTTGCGAAGTGCACGCTCACCCCTCTGCAAAGCCTGGAGGCCACTGACCTTCTGTCCGCAGTGTGACCTCTCAGCCACCCGTCTAGCTGCACTTAAGTGTCCCAAGATCCGATAATAGGCAAGCAGGACGCGGAGGCAAAATGCGATGTACATCACAATGGCCAGCAAAGTCAACGAGAACTTCGCACAGCGAAGAAACGAAAGGGAGACAGCGTAGCCAATTAGGCAGGTTTTCACACCAATGGCAAAGTGGCGAAGGCAAACTGCCGGCGTTGTACTTAGTATGGAAAAATCAATCGCAGTCAAGACAAAGACATACGCCGCGCCAGCGTAATACCACCTCGTCATCAAGTTTGGGAAATACTGGTGCCCTGCAGATCTCTGCAGCGAGTGTAGTCGATGAGCTGACAGGGAGACAAGCCAAGTCTGCTGAACGGTGTACAAGGCAATGCCTACGACCGACCCGGCTGTGTTCGCGGCGACTGAGCTGGAGCTGAATGAAGCATCAACTACATGTTTGAATCCCATTGCCCAGGTGCAGAAGAGGAAGCCAGCTGTGGACCAAGCGTGGCTTGTAGAGGCCCTGGCGCATATGTATAAAGCTGCCCAACCTGGCACTATGGTGCAGCTGATCGCGATGATGGGCGTGATCCCGTCCGCTTCGGCAGCATCATAGACCAGGGCCGCGCCACCATAGACCAGGGCAGTCATGGCGACAACAATGACGAAACGACAAGCGGCCATGGAGTAGCCTTCTTGGCTCCTGGCAAGGATGGTCTTGGCGGTGCTGCTGCCATTCTCCTCATTGACTGCAGCCTCCCTCCTGCCAAAGCATAGAACAGGCAGTGGAAGATCCCGTGATGCAGCGGAAGATCCCATGTACCAAATTCGCCACCGTCTCAGAATCTCCGACTACGATGTGCACTGCGCTCTGCGATGGCTTGAGCAGTAGACTGGGGCTCTCTCACACTGTCTCACACTCGGACAATCCGGTTCCAACTATCCGCCACAAGCTACTAACCGTCACCGACCAGTCAGTTTGAGCAGTTGGTGTCGGAATGGCTGTGTAAAGCAGGACCAAGATTAAATTAACGATTGAGTTGCAAACCCAGCTTGCAAGCTCCAGAGGTTGCATCACATGTCTGGACGAGGCGAATGACGCGAGAGCCGGGTGGCAACACTGGCAAACGGCCTGCACCAAAAAAAAGCAAAGGCGCCTTCAACGAGACCCTGACGACACCAGTGGTCAGGAAGGTCCAAGGCCACGTACCAAGCATCCTTGGTGCCAGTTTTTAGTTATTCGGGATTTTGACTGCAGGGTTTAGGTGTTTAGTGTCGTCCTTGCTCTGCCACTGATCAGACACATCTTGGAGGCATGTTGTTCAAGCCCTGTTTCTCAAGCCTTCAAAGACATATGTTTGAGCGAGTCACCAGCCGGTGTGCCGAACTCTCTGCAAGGTCGAGTACGACTCCGTCCAGAGCCAACGGAGGGTTCTGTTCGAAAATAAAGCGTAGGTTTGGGTTCCGGGACTTGGTGGAAAGAAGGATCGAGATGGGACTGGACTTCCGACATCCAAGGCTCGCGCCACAAAACAACGCCATGGGACTCAATGAATACTGTTATACGTTGGGTACCTAGACTGATAATTGCTTGCGATCCACTTCCGGCTTGAACAGCTTAGTAAACAAGTCACTGGTTCTTCTAAGTATCTCTTTTCGTTTCAATCTTCCCAGCAACCCCTGCAACGAAGAGTGCGCTTGCTTCAGCAGTCCAGCTGCGACATGGAGACCGCACGATAAAGAGGGCCTAAGGGTGCTACTGGCGGACGTCGTACAGGGGCCTGTAGAGATCATGACGGCACGATATTACTCCTTATTCAGAAGCCTACCTTAGATGACCACCCTGTACCTCAACAAGGCAAGAGAGCTACCCCAAACCCTCAGCCCTCGACCCTGCATCCTGCGCGACCTCTGGGCCCAAGAATCCTCGGATGTATGGAACCTGTACAGTCATACAGGGGTTACAGTATCAACCATAGTCTAAAGCAACCCTCACAAATGTCTGATGTTGGACTGGGATGGCTGCGAGCTACCACCAGCTATGGATCCATCGGTGCCAAGCCGACCGTATTGCACTTGAACTTCCGAGAGCTCGACCGGGACGTCAATGGGACCACGACCTCAATCACATGCCCGAGCAGCAATCTAGCAGAAGAGCTTTATTGGTGGGAAACGTGAGCCATCTTTCGCACAAACAGTATTTCGAGTCTCCGTATTGCAGACTCTGCGTTTCTTGTAGAGATGCCTGTCTACGGTCGAGCACCTCTGGTCGAACGCTTTCACTGCCTTGCTTTCGAGGTTTGCGGGTTTCTCTTGCCTCCGCATTGCTTGGTCAGGAAATTCTGGATCCGAGCAGGGTATGCTCGACAGCATTCGGAGACTTTCGAAGTGGGCCCAGAGCTCCCTGAGCTGGGAGTTTGGAGTATCCGATCCTGGGTTTAAGGCTCACGAGGTTCTCAGGTTTCAGAATATGCGGGGTAGGGCATGAGGCTAACAGCTGAAGGTACTGATTGTGGCTTTCCTGACATGGGCTGAGATGGTAGCTACGGGCTTGGAGGAAAGAAGCACAAGCCCCACCCAGAAGTTATGCAGTAGAGGCAAGAGCTTGGGTTTGGGATACAGGGCGCACTTAAAAGATCAAGACGCCTAGTAAATAGGTCCCTATACAAGTAGGATGACCCCATTGGGAGCACTTGCCGCATGATCTTTCAAGCAGGATGCAGGGTTGGGAACTTAGGGCGGTTTGCTATTTCATCTCTGTAGTCCTGCCTTGTTGGGAGGGTTTCGGGTTTGGGCCCTGGGGCTTAGGCTCCGAGTAGAGCCAAGGGGTAATGTGGGCGCCTTAATAGTTAGAATAATGTTTTGAGCATCATTATGCCATACGTAATTACAATAAGGAACCCCTCTAATTAGTATAGGTATGTCTTCAAGAAGCGCTGATGTCATTGGAGCCCACATAAGCACCTAAACCTCAATTTTTTGCGGGTGTGCAATTTTCAGCGTGTTCTGTTTATGTGGCTTCTTGGATGCCATTCCTCGTACAGTGAAAACCTTGAAGGATCTTGCACCGAAAAACGACACCGAAGACCCGAAACCCAAAGCGTAAACCCAAAGCTCAAAACCGGGAAAGCCAGTCCTAGCATCGCCACAGAAGGCGTGCAAAATCGAAATTGCTAGAATAGCTTCCCGCAAATAAGGGCTGTGGCCAAGAGTATTCACACCTACGCCAATGACCCCCCAAACAAATGTAGGGATGTGGTGCATAACATAAAGAGTATATGACTAAGAACAAGGGGGTTCGACCCCCACCACCTTAAACCCCAAACAAGGACGGCTTTCTGAACCCTAAACCTGCAGGCCACACTGTCATGGAGGATATGTAGAACCAAGTGGGTGGCTGTCAAAGTTGTGGTCCCTGTTTGCTTACCCTAAATATTAGGTGCCGTGTTATAATAAGGACTCAAAACCCCGAAATTTGACAACCACCCAAGTATCAGCAACATGTCTCGAATCCGAAGACGCCACACCCCAGACCGGCATAGACCAAACTCCCAAGATGTCGCATCCCCCCCTGACTCCACACTCTCAGTGACTCACAGACCGGACAACCTGGTGCCAAGCCTGGAGCAGTTGTTTTCGTCGTTCAAGGTTTGGGTAATTACTATTACAGTTAATTACTATTGCCATTACTATTGCTATTACTATGACCATGAACATTACCATTTTCATGGCCATTGCAATTACTACGATTATTACTGTTACTATTGCCATTATTATTGCTATTACTATTACCATTATTCTTACTATTATGTTTACTATTTGGGGTGGACTGGCTCTTCGGGTTTTTGGAGCCTTTCAAGCTTCTAATCGGCTGGAGCTCTCGGCGTGCCACGGGGGTTTAGCCTCCTTCACCGTGCCCTCTTGCGTGTGTTATGAAGGGTCTAGGAAGGTTTTGGGTTCACGGGTTAGGGTCCCCTCCAACATCCCAAATCCACGGAATGCAAGAAAAACACTCATAACTGTTGTGCTTTTTACATGGCGCCTGATTTGGCGCTTGAAAAGAGTCTCGAGCCCTGAGTCAAGCTCCATGTCATGGGGCCTTTGCCCTCAGAAGAAGTCCTGAGATGGGAAACCTGCATGTTTGTAATATAGGGGCCTTCATAATTGGAATAGGGCTCCTTTTTAGGGTTCGTTTAAAGGGGTCTACAAGGGATCTATAATATAGGGGCCTCAATGATTAGAGTGGGGTTGCGGGGCCCATTAAACTATACTTATAATAAGGAGCCCCAAAAACTAGTATAGGTAGTTATTTAGGCCACTATGTTACAGGAAGGTCTTGGTTCAGAGATGTTCAGAGTTTAGGGCAATGGGCTCACCTTTCAACCCTTACCCGAAACCTTATTATTATTTTATTAGAGTATTATACTATTATATTATTATATTATTGTATTATTATATTATTATATTATTATATTATTATATTATTATATTATTATATTATTATATTATTATGTTATTATGTTATTATATTATTATATTATTATATTATTATATTATTATATTATTATATTATTATATTATTATATTATTATATTATTATATTATTATATTATTATGTTATTATATTATTATATATTTATATTGTTATATTATTATATTATTATATTATTATATTATTATGTTATTATATTATTCTATTATTATATTATTCTATTATTATATTATTCTATTATTATATTATGATATTATGATATTATTATATTATTATATTATTATATTATTATATTATTATATTATTATATTATTATATTATTATATTATTATATTTCTATATTATTATATTCTTGTAACAGTATATTAGTATATTATTGATTATTGATGGATGGAACCGAGGGCGAAGGGCGACATCATGTGCCAAACCCTGACAGCCACCGGCCCGAACCAGTTGACCCGAGCTTGGGGTGCCGATGCTAATGCTCGGACAGATCATTCAAGGGTCGAGTTCGGAGTTGAAGGTTCGGGGTCGAGTCTAGGAAGTCCGAAATCCTAACCCCGAAGCCGCACTTACAAAGAAGTGTTCAAACAGGACGGCGAGGCCCATCTTCAGGCAGTGCAGCAAATACTCTGCCCAGCAGTCGGTGCCTGAACTTGGCCATGAATGCCAAGTGCGCGGTGGAAGCTTTGCGGCCATGCATGTAAAATCTTGTGGATACACACTTACATAATCTTTCGTGCATACGTACATGCATAACATTTACTTGTTTATTTGGGTATTTGTTTTTTGCTTATCTAGTATTGTGTATGTACTTATCCATTAAATAGTTATACATATGCGCATACATGCATACATACATACATGAAGACAGAAATTCGGACATAAACACACACACACACACACACGTACACATATACATGTATATACACACAAGTATATATGTACAGGCGACATGACAGAATGCTCCTGGCATCTTCAGCAGGAGCAGGAGGAATGGGTTCGCGGCATCAGCTTTAGTTATAGTTGAGGGCTCAGGGGCACTGAACGGGAAGTCTTCTTGCAAGGAAAATCCCCAAGCCACCTGCAGCCTACAAGAGCCCCATGACATCCTGTAAATCCCAACCACAAACCCTAAACCCCAAAGCCTAACCTTATTCTGAGTTGTCCTTTAAGCCCCTTGAAAATTATTTGCCATTATGGTTCGCTACAAAATAGTAGGGGAAATTAAAAAAGATCCCAAAGGACAACCTAGTATTATTCCAGCAATCTTCTGGCGCCCTAGAAAACGTGAAACGTTGGGCTCTGTGAGAGCGATGAGTCCTGCATAGCCTCTTTGCCCTTTACTGACACTGTGCGAACCCTATAAGTCCGAATATCCTATCGGCCCTAAGCCCTTTTGCAGCTGGGTTCTGAGTGTCAGCCCGACCCTAATTCCTAAAACCCTGACCCCGAAGCCCAAAGCCCGAAACCCAATCTGCTACGCGCCGAAGCTTGGACCCTGGCAAAATCGATGGCTTGAGGTCCTGCTTGGAGGGTCTGGGGACTTGGCAAGTCGGTCATAAGTATAGTTGGTACCCTAGAAGGGAAGATACTCATTCAAAATAACTACTGTATTTTTCATTTGTCTCCCGACCCTGCAAGTGGGTGTGTCTGGAAGCGAACCAGAGCTCAGGATTGCGGGGTGTTCAGGGGGTTGAAGGGTTCATAGGGCTAGGTTTGGCGTTTTGGGGGGCTTAAGATCTTTGGCCTGGGCTCGGGCTTTAGATTGTTCTTGAGGGTGTTTTGGATTTCCGGTCGAGGACTCTTCGTGTTTGGTCCGGGCTTGTGGGAGGTTTCATCTTTGCTTTGGTCACAGGGGTGAAGGAGGGCGAGTTGGGTGCAGAGGAGTTTTCAGGCTTTAGACATCAAGCACCCGCCGGTGTTTCTCTTCCTGCCCAAAGACCTTGGCTCCAATTGTGGCAAGGCTTCAACGCCAAAATTTGCAACACTCATGGATCAAACCTCCATAAACGCAGGGCAAGCATTCCACCCACTCAATCATTGGGATTCAGTGCGCCGTGAAGGGAAACATCATCAGCATCAGCTGGAGAGCCTTTTCAAACCCACGCTCTACTCTCCAGCATTGCAACCCTTCCAACCAACCATTGGACCGATTCACTGAACCGCAGGGGCGAGCATCATCAGCATCAGCTGGAAACCCTTTTTTAACCCACACTTTTCTCTCCATACCTTGAAACCCACAGCAGGGGTAGCATTCCACCCCATCATTGGACGCATTCAATGAACTGCGGCGGCGAGCATCATCAGCATCAGCTGAAAGTCCTTTCAGAACTCACGCTCTACTCTCCAGACGTTGGAACCCACAGCAGGGGTGGCATTCCACCCAATCATTGGATCATATTCAGTGACGCGCAAGGGCGAGCATCATCAGCATCAGCTGGAAATCCTTTTTTAACCCACGCTTTTCTCTCCACACCTTGGGACCCACAGCAGGGGTAGCATTCCACCCAATCATTGGACGCATTCAATGAACCGCGGCGGCGAGCATCATCAGCATCAGCTGGAGATCCTTTTAAACCCACGCTCTACTCTCCAGTAGCATTCCACCCAATCATTGGGTGGATTCAGCGAGCCGCAAGGGCGAGCATCATCAGCATCAGCTGAAAATCCTTCTAATCCAGACGTTGGAACCCACAGCAGGGGTGGCATTCCACCCAATCATTGGATATTCAGTGACGCGCAAGGGCGAGCAGCATCAACATCAGCTGGAATTCATGCTTTAACCCACGCTTTTCTCTCCATACCTTGGGACCCACAACAGGGGTAGCATTCCACCCAATCATTGGACGCATTCAATGAACCGCGGCCGCGAGCATCATCAGCATCAGCTGGAAGTCCTTGTAAACCCACGCTCTACTCTCCAGTAGCATTCCACGTTGGAACCCACAGCAGGGGTAGCATTCCACCCAATCGTTGGACGGATTCAGTGAACCACGGGGGCGAACATCATCAGCATCAGCTGGAAATCCTTTTAACCCCCCGCCTCTATTCTCCAGTAGAATTTTACCTGGATTCAGCGAGCCGCAAGGGGAAGCATCATCAGCATCAGCTGAATATCCTCTTAGAACTCACCCTCTACTCTCCAGACGTTGGAACCCACAGCAGCAGGGGTGGCATTCCACCCAATCATTGGATATTCAGTGACGAGCTAGGGCGAGCATCATCAGCATCAGCTGGAAATCCTTGTAAGCCCACGTTCTACTCTCCAGCGCTGGAGCCCACAGCAGGGGTAGCATTTCACCCCATCACTGGCCGGATTCAGCGCACCGGGGGGGGCGAGCATCATAGGCATCAGGCATCAGCTGGAAACCCTTGTTGAACCACGTTCTACTCTTCAGACGCTTGGACGGATTCAGTGAACCGTAAGGGATAGCAGCATCAACACCCTTTCAAAATGTGTCTACATCAGGGGTTCCTCGTGCCATGATGCTATAGTCTCCTGAGAGTGCGCTTGTTTTTGGAGAGGGGTGACCTAATATGGGGGCCTTAACTTAGAACAGGGTTTTGGGGCCCATTATGCTATCATGACACGAAGGAACCCCCACAAAAGTACAGGTAATTATATTAAGGCCCCTATAGTAAGGGATTGGGGTTGGAGGCTTGGGGCGATTTCAACCGCATTAGCGGCTCAGGGGTTCGGACGTTGGGCTTTGGATTGCAATGCGGAGGGTGTATGTCTGAGCTTTTCTATTTATGGGCCCTAATGTAGGAACCTGATTAAGAAACTCTGGGCCTCCAATCCAAAAAAAGCAGGATTCATGTAAGGAACCCTAATAACGACCCAAAGTTTCTGAATCAGGTTCCTACCTCATTATGTTTAGGGTTTACACTTTAAGGTTTAGGACTTAATATGATGCTGCGGTATAGTCCCTCATGGAGGGAATGCTGCCAAGCTGCTGGGGCGCGGGGTTCGCGTGCGGGGGCACCAAGGTGTGGGCCTTCTCCATGAAACACACGACCTGAGTACTGGGCAAGGCAAGAGCCTACTGGAGCACAGTACGACCTCCACTGACATGCATCCTCATCCTCAGCCATATCCTCATCGTCCTCCTGATATACATCATTTTGGATTCGCAGAATTCAAGACGCCTGCTTATGCTTGTCGAACCAAATAAGAACCTTATACGAAGTGTGTAGGAACCCTTTTAGCACCTCTCAAATCCCACAGCTTTAATCTAGGGGCCCAAATGATTACCTGGAACATGTTTTGGGGTACCTAATCATAGATATAGTATAGTGGGCCCCAAAACCCTATTCTAACTCTTAATGCCCCTACATCCCTAAATCCCGACTAGAGCCCTCATAGAATTATGGAACCCTTAAAGGACCCTTTAAAAGGAACCCTATTCTATTTATTAAGCCCCCTATAATCTGCCCCAAAACATTCCCCGCCGAGGCCCTCGACGCATTGCTGCGCTCTGGCCTCCATCCGTCGCCGGCTCACCGCGGAGTTCGGTGGCCTGAAGCAGGCTTTAGGCTTTAGGGTTTAGGGTTGAGGGCTTCAGGGTTTAGGCTTTAGGGTTTAGGGTTGAGGGCTTTAGGGTTTAGGGTTTAGGGTCCAAAGCAGCATCGTGCTTCACACGGGCTTTCTAGGATGCCTAAACGGCTTTAAAAAAGTTTCTACAGAAACTGCTCAGGTTCTATGATAGCACCCTGAATGATTTAAACAAGGTTCGGGCAGAAAACACGATAATACAGTATAATCAAAAGACTAGAAGGGGATTAATACAATGTAGGGTTTACCTGTAGCCGAAACGACATACCTTTTTAAGGAACTACAAATAGAAACCATAATAAGGAACCCCAAAAAGGTAGATCTTTCCGGCTTCAGGTAGGCTTTGTTGTTTGGGCCCGACCATTGTTTAGGATATCAGGGTTCGACATCCGCTGCAGGCGATGAGGGGTGCTGAGTGAGTAGGGGTTTAGGGTTGAGAGAAACAGCATCCGGATTGAAACCACATACAGACCCTCATAAAGCCCCACAAAACCATCGAAACCCGTCTAAGAACCCTATATTCCCTCGAACAAGCCCTGTTTCAACTAAGCACTAAACACTAAATCCTAATCCCTGTTTCAACTAACTACAAAACCCTGTTTCAACTAGTTATAAAACCCTGTTTCAACTAATTATACATTACAAAACCGAAAGGCTGTTCTCAGAGGCCCTCGCAGCGGCGTAAACTGCGAGGCTACGGCCTGCCATTCGCGCGCCTGCCGGGGGCTTTGGGGTTGTGGCCGTATTTGGCGGTTTAGGGTTTAGGGTTCAGGGTTCAGGGGTTTGGTTTAGGGCTTCGGGTTTAGGGTTTGATGGTGCAGGATGACGGGACCTACTAAGTACGACGCATTTGGGGACCCGACATAATCGGGGTTTTCCTGCCGTTTACAATACACAAGACCTGTTTCCTAAAGTACGTTGAACCTCTAAGCAACCTGTGCTGTGTTGTTGTGTGCAGTGACACGACATGTCCTTATGCCGGTTTCCGCTTGATGAGGACAGGTGGAAACAACGGCATGGAGCCAACATTACAATCCACTGCAGCCCTGAACCCTATACCATTTCCCCAACAGAGAATCGTTTGAATTTCAAGAAGGCCGACCACCCGGCAAGAACCCCCAGTATGATATAGACCCTAAATGCTAGGATCCTTGTCGTAAAAACGCTTGCAAAAGGCACCCGCTAACTATTGAACTATATCTGCATCTAGATCTGTATCTCTATTACTGTCTTTGCCATCTACGACGGGAAACCCTATCACCTATAAGACATTATCCCTAATCTCTGTTTCATTTCTATAACTTGTTTTCTATAGCCGGAGCGCAGATCCAGATCTGCATCTACACTCATATATACCGATATCTTCATCTATATCCATATCTTTTCATAAACCTACATCTAAGTTTGCTCTGGATCTATGCCTAAATCTAGATGTGCCGGTATCTATCTGCATCGATCTGTATCTATCTAATCTAGCCTAATTTAATTAGCCCTTCTCTAACTTCTGTATGTAAATGTCTATATGGCTATTAGTATTACTACTGTCGTACCATTACCTAAACTATTTTTATTACTCTTATTACTGCTATGTTTTTGCATCATTTCTATCATTTCCGTTGTCACTATGATTACTGTTTACTGTTCTTGTCAGTATTATTTCTATTACATGTATCGAAATCTCCAGGCCTCGTCGTCGGAGCCGTAGTCGTCTAAGGTCAGGTCGTCCTCGAGGACCGGCCTTGAGGGAAGGAGAAATCTGCTGATAAGGGTTTAGGGTTTAGGGTTGAGGGTCAAGGGTTTAGGGTTTAGCGTTTAGGGTTTAATGGGGTTTAGGGTTTACGCTCTCACAACTCGGACACAGCCAGGCGAGGTTTAGGGTTTAAGGTTTCAGGTTTGGGGTTTAAGGTTTCAGCACTCACACTCGGACATCGGGTTTAGGGTTTAGGGTGGTCAGCAAACTTCAAAGTACCCTAGAAGGGATCCTAAATTGGGGTCATGATGCTTTTAAGTCAGGAAAACAAACACTTGCTCAGTCCCCGGCCCTACAAGTGGCTCTTGGGGCTGATGGAAAAATCCTGCGTTTGGGTGATTTAGGCTTTAGGATTGTGTGCTTAGGACGTCTGGCATCGGGGTTAAGGTTGAGGATTCAAGGGTTAGGGATCAGGGATCAGGGTTCGGGTTTAGGGCTCAGCGTCGTTGCTTTGGCCCAGCCCTTTACACAAGCCTGTAGAGCGCTTGTCCCATCTTCGGCCATGCATGCCCCACCACCACAACCCTGCATAATCCCGATCCGAACTATGCAACCCTCATGAATTCTGAAAGCAAACCCTGCCGAAATTTTCAGAAGCACAACCCCAAACCCTAAAGCCCAAACCCAAACCCGAACACCTACAACTAAGACTCAGCCCAAAAGCCCCAAAAACCTAGAATCTCGAACCTCAATCCTGGCCTTGCCGGAGGGCTGGGCGCTTCCTTCCTTCCCTTGGCCGCCTTGGCAGTCGCTCGGAAGCTGGGCGAGGCTTTCGAGTGCAAACAATTTAGGATTGAGGGGGTTTAGGGTTTAGGGTTTAGGGTTTAAGAAGAGCTGGGTTTGTTGGTGTTACGGTATATGGGAGAAGCCAGAAAGTTGGAACATTAGTATCCTTATGCCCTTAGGGGAAAGGATAAGGGATCCTAGCGCTAATCCTCCTAAACCCATGTTCCAACTTTCTGGCTTCTACTGTAGGGTTTAGGATTTAGAGCCTACGGTGTAGTTTCAGAGATCTGTAGAGCACTTTAGGGGTTTCTAATGTAGGAGTCCTTACAACAAGGTTCCATGGTAGAGATCCTTCTCTATATCTGAAACTTAGTTGGCCTTTACGATTTCCGGTTTTAGCTGTATGGTTCTACTACAGCTTGTAAATTCAACCATCCAAAGCAGTCCTGACCATAATAAGCACAAGCCCAAGAAGCAAAAATGCTGGTCAGCATAATCAAAGAAGTCCCTCTGCACACTGTCGCTGCGTAGTGGCATACATTTCGCAAGCCTGAATCTCAAACCGGAAACCCCAACTGGCTGGCAAACAAAACTGAACCAGCTCCTCGACTGTAAATCGTACAGTAGAAGCCAGAAAGTTGGAATATGATTATCGTAACCCTTTAAGGTAAATTATAGGGGATCCTACCATGAAACCATATTCCAACTTTCTGGAGTTCCCTGTAAGCTCTGAACTCCAAACCTTGCGCTCATAATGTGTATATAGATAGATCGATCGGTCGATCGATAGCTAGATAGTTAGAGAGCTAATACATTAACAGAAAGGTAGACACATTGACAGAATCAAATACAGCAAGATAGGTAGATCGATCGATCGGCAGACTCGCAGATGGAAAGAAGGATAGATAGATACATAGATAGAGATGCAAATGGATATAGGTCTAAGTCTAGATAGAGACAGAGCCAGAGCCAGAGATAAAGATGGATATGGGGTGGGGATGGAGATAGAGATAGGAATGGAGATAGAAATAGATACATGCGTACATACAAGCACACATACGTGCATACATACATGCATACATACATGCATACAGCACATATATACGTATGTACATACATACATACATACATACATACATACACACATACAGATACGCATGTATGTATGTATGTTTGTATGTATAGATGTATGTATGTACACAAATGCGTCTGTGTTTGCACATTCACGTGCACAGTGCACGTATGTATAATGTATGCATGTATGTATGTACCTATTCCGACAACTTGTATATGCAGAAAGAAGATACCTACAGAATGCACACGCTGCAGTGCAACGGCGCGGGGTGCTCTTTTTTGCATCCGGCAAGTTCATCTTAGGTCGGCAGGGTCTGACGGTAGAGGGTGAAGGCACTCTGTTTAAACATAGGGGCCGAAATAATTACCAAGTCCATTACGGGGTCCTTGCTACAATCATCATACGACAAGATACCCCAAAACCATACGAGGCACCAGCTGGGACCACCGTGTTCAGGTCAGCGCAAAGTAAACACACTACTTGCACGCTCGTCACAAGAGGTCTTCGAAATCCACCGCAAACACATGATCTGATTCAAAACGTATCGAAAAGGTTGCAATACATCCATGTACCTTCCAGATGCTCCTTAAACCCGAAACGTAGCCCCAGTTCGGGTCGTCAGGAGAAGCTGCATTGAGCTCGCCATGTTGAAAGGCAGTGGGTTCAGTGATGTGGGAGGTTCAGAGGAAGGGTGCCCTGCCACAAACAAGAAACAATGAGACACTTTTTAGAGGGCACCGTCCCACTGGCCCTGACTTCAGAGTTCGGGGTTTCAGCCTTAATCAACATCTGTTAGCACATCCAACCCTGATCTTATATACTGCCGGAAAGCTCCACCCTCACCGGCGACGGCACAACACCATGTCACTGCATCTACGGCATGAGACAGCATCTACACTCACACCCACAAGCTCAAAGCAGAAGTTTGGAAAGGTTTGACAGCCCAAACTGGTGTGTAGTAAGCCTTGAGTTAGAGCCCCGAATAGACCTTCAAGTCCGTGAAGGGATCAAAGCAGAAATGCATTTGCTTCCGCGCAAACTGTGACATGAGTTTAACGATATAACACTTTATTTAAAGGATTGAAGATTCGTTCCCGCGAATTCAAAAGGTCGTAAGAATGTGATCCGTTGGATGGCAGAACAGCTTGCACAGCGGGCTTGCCCAATCCGCTCTATCAACCTTGAGCTTTCGCTGGAGGCTCATGGGCCATAGCCGCTCGTGGGCAGAACCTTACGACTAATTACTAACTGTTTGCTGATATCGGGGACTTGAGGCAATGCAGGACTGGCGAATGCTTGAGCTTGATTTACGACTAAGGCTTGCGGCCGCCTTTCAGAATCCTGACGCAAAGCTGCGGCCCGAAACTTTTCACCGCCACATCCCAAACGCAAAACCTTCAAATCCCAACTCCTGAATCCAAGACCTTTTGAACCAGAACCAGTGCACCCTTAAACCGGTCAACAGCGGGTGTGCGCGTAGAGCCAGCCGAAGGCCTTAAGCCCAGGCACTAAGGGTGTTTCTCTTGAGCAGAGCCGGCACAAGTAGGAAGAGGACAGCTGCGCGACGTGGCAACAGATCCTCTACGAAGAGCAGGCAAGCTGCCATACTGATCCTCTTCCTAGCATTATCTCCGCTCTGGCCCTAACTCTACACTCGACGCACGGCACAGTTCACTGCGGACTCGGAAAGCCGCTTAACCCTAAACCAAAACCCTGAACCCCCTAAACACCCAAACCCTAAACCCTGAAACCCTAAACCCCTAAACCCTACCTGAAACCCTAAACCGCTCTACACTCTACGCAACTGCGGACTCGGAAAACCCAGCTCCGGCATGGCTGGCACTGGGGACGTCCAGCGAGGTCCCAAGAAGTGGACGAGAAAGCTCAAAACAAGTGCAAGGAAAAATGTGCATCTTAATGATTACCTGTTGTCACTACTACTCTGCAGCTATTGCTGTGGTTCTTACTCTCTAAGGGACAGATGGGCGACATCACCATCTTGCCCACAAGGTTATTTTCTCTTGCATCGGGCCGCTTGCAGCTCAGTCTGCTGAACCCTGAGATCTTGAACGCTACACCTTTTCGCCCCAAACCAAGCCCAAAGCCCAATCCCTGATCACTTTATCGCGAAGCCCTCTGGGACCCGTCTAAACCCAAAGCCTCCTATAAAATACTATAGAACCCTTGCAGAAAGCCTTCTAGCAGCGTTGTCGTACCCTTATAGCAAACACTCCGTGGGACGCTGCAGTCTCAACTCTTTGCCTTGGCCTCGGCCGTTTGCCTGCGCTCCAGCAGACTGAAGCCTCGGCCCGGTTGACATCATAGTGAACATAGTGCTGGTGCTTGTACTTGAGCCAGCTAGTGCTTCTGCAAGCGCTAGTACTAGTACTAGTAAATGTAGTAGCAGCAGCAGCAGTATTGGCAGTGGTGTGGCAGTGGTGTGGCAGCGCCCGTGGCCGCGGCCGTGTGGTAGCAGCAGCAGCAGTAGTAGTAGCAGTAGTAGCAGTAGTAGCAGTAGTAGTCGTCGTGGTGGTGGTGGCAGTAGCAGGAGCAGTAGTGGCAGTAGTAGTAGTAGTAGTAGTCGTCGTCGTCGTTGCAGTGGTAGCAGCAATGGCACAGGGGCACAGGGCACAGGGGCACAAGGGCACAAGGGCACAGGTGGGCAAAGTTGCGGTTTAGCAGCAGTAGCAGCAGAAGTCACGAGTCAAAATGGGCGACGATTCATGTTTGCCCAAGAGAAGGCAGACTTTGTCCTGCAAGCTAAGTTTCAAGTCCTGGCGCCCTTCGTGTCCAACGCTCTGTGTAAGCTGCAGCCAGGAAGCCGGTGAAGGAGAGAATGTTGCCTGAGTTAACGTAGGGGCCTGAATAATTCGAATAGGCCTCTTATAGGGGCTACTATAAGGGATCTATAAGGGCACTATTAGATAGGGGCCTTAATAATTAGAATAGGGTTTGGGGGCCCACTATAATATAATTATAATAAGGCCACTATAGTGAGTTTCTCAACCGTTGGCATTGCCGCTTGCATTCCAGAGCCCCTCGGCTCCTCACGCCCCGTCCATTCCACCTAAACTCGTCCTGCATCTCCTTCTTACAGTTCAGGTCTAGTGAAGTCTAGTAAACTTTCATAACCACACATCGTTATGATACCTGTGGTACCTTCGTGGGGACGAAAGTTGGTGTTCTAGGAACACCTTTATGCAAACTCATTCACTGGGCCTGACATGTGGATGACTTCTGATAAAGGGGCCCTTCTGCGGGTGTTACAAAGAGGATCTTCGAAAGTCTAGGTTTAGGTCTGGTTTTGCCACCCGCCTGGCCAGGGTGCAGGGTTTACTGAAGTTTACTGTAGGGTTAGGAGTTGTCCCCTGTTTCTGGAAACTTCCGTATTTTGCCTTCCGCAAGTCCCGAAATCCCCACAGGAAGATCGCGGCAACAGCAACACACGAACAATGAGCAACGAAAAACTTCGGACCTTATTAGACCGCAAGCGTAACTATGCGATCTCGAACACCCAGAAACCGCACCCCCAACCAAAACAACAACCTTTGGACAGCAACTGCATTGAGACTTGGGACTGCAAGGCGGGGCAAGGAGTCAGGGTTTGCGCATGCAGTGACGGGGGAAAGTTTTTGACACACGGCTGGAGCAACAAGACTGATCCAAATACCTACCCATGCTTCACAGGATTTCACGCATGACAAACTTCCTCCGAGAGTAATCAATACCGTCTTGATTTAGCAGCTAAGCACTACACGAAGGTTGGGACGAAAGGAAAGCCTGTCCGTTTGTGCAAGTCACCCAGCACCGCGACGACCATGACAAAGGCCCAGATGCCAGGTGGGAGCCTGTATTCGCGCACGCATGGGGCGAGCTGTAATGTCTGGACAAAAGAACTTTACCCCACAACCCCTGGCCCTAGCCCTAAGCCACCAAACC